TGACATCACTCTCTTTTTGCAGGTGGGGAAAAGGAGGCGATGCCAGGTGAAGCGCGTAGTCACGGTCATGCGGTGGGGCGGCAGTGGGACTAGCAGTGTGACCCCAGAGCCCGAGATCCTCACCACCGTGGTAATGGCCTTTCTAAGTGCTAAGTCGCAAACTGTTTCCCCAGCTAACTCCTGGAGGAAATTCAGAGCACGGGTCTGTTGTCCACACACCTCTTACCACGTGGTAATATAGCTGTTAGCCCGCAAACGTGCCTCTGCTCAAAGCTGGGAGCACTGCCTTATTCTTTGGGGGTCCTCCCAGCCTGGCATGGAGCCTGGCCCATTGGGGGCACATGCAGGCACTCTGGCTCCAGAGTCTGTGCTCTTAGCCACTGCCCATACCGCAAGCTGGTTTGTAAAATAACCGAAGCAAGACAAACCGTGTCTGGGGATATGCTCAAAATTAGACGTGAACATTCTATTGACATCCCATGCACTAAAACATGACTCCACAGAATTCCAAGGACAGCCTCTCCTGCCTGCCTCTCCACCCCTTCCCTCTCCTCCCCGGGGCCCCTGCTGGGGCCGCAGTTTGGAGCACTGCCGACCATCACTCCTCCTGGCATCCGTGGGCAGTGCTCACACCCCCCCCACCCCCCTGCCCCCCCTGCTCCGAAGGCCGGGGCCGGGCAGAGGCAAGACCGGCGCTGGGGCGCTACATTCAGGTGGTGCAAGTTCAGGTGGCCACCTGAGAGTGAATGCCCCTGACCTTTTACTCCCAGGAGCCTCACTTGCTCTACTCTGTCCTTGACCTGCCTCAACACATGAGTAGCACGTCACTGTCTGCTTGAGTCCCTGTGGCCCCCCAGTGCCTGCAGGATGAAGCATGGGCTGTGACTCATTCACTTGGTTAGGGAAGGAGGAAGAAGCCAAATGAGAGAGAAACAGAAGGGCTGGAGCAGTCTTCCATGGGACGGGGCGATCCAGAACGGCACAGGCTATGCGGCCACTGGGACTGCCAACATGTCCCAGATGGAAAGGAGGGCGGCCCTGTGAGGTATGGCTGGGTGCCCACACAGGGACGTCCTCGTGTCCTTGAGGCCTGTTCCACTGGCTTAGGCAGTCTGAGTGACTCTGGTCTGTGTAGCCAAAGCAATCCAACCAGAGCCCTGGCCTCAACTAGCCCTTCCTTGACTTCATCTAGCTCAACTGGCCCCAGCCAGCCCCGTTCTCAAGGCTTCCCTACCCCCCCCCCCCCCCCCCGGCTTGCTTGTCTAGTCATTCTCTTGCCCAGATGTTGGAGGCCTTTACCCACCACCTTCTAGGACATTCCTATAGTCCCAAGAAGCCCAGCTCAGCAACCTCCCTGATTGCGGCCTGCTTCCCCAGTGTGCTCTCTCCAGAGCCCTCCCATACCACTGTCTGGTCTCCTAGAAAGAGGGAGAGGCTAATGTTAATGTTCAGTGAAACCCACACCAGGGCGGGCCAAGTCTCTGCAGAGCTGAGCTCACGAATCTGCACAACTGCACCATGCAGATGGCGTCCTTCTCCCCATTTTATGGACAAGGAAACCGAGGTTCAGAAAGGCTAAGGCCCAGTATGAGATTATATTTTTAGGAAACGGAAGACATTTAAACTCCATTCTGTCTGACCACCCCTCCCCCTTGAGGTCCCCTTTAACAGGCGTGCTGACCCCCGAGGCCCTGCACATGCCACCAACACCTATGTGGCTGAGGGAACGAAGGCAGGCCATGAGCTGTGCACACGTAGCATGTAAGCACTCACAGATGAGTCTGCGGTGACCTGAGAAGAGGGGTCTCAATCAGCAAAGAACAGGAAACAACCTGCCAGTGTCGTTCCGCAGCAGTGCAGATTTTCCAAAATGAGATCTTTTTGGGTGGGAGATGTCCCTCTTAGACTGTGGGTGCGGTTGTCTGTGGGGGTGAGACCAGGCATTTGCATTATAAAGGTCTCTTTCCATTGCGTTTGCTGCCTTGCAGAAGCCTCCCAGGCCTTCAGATGGCTGGATCTCCATGGAAATTAGTTTGCAGAGAGAAAGGAGCTATTTTAAGGACCAGCGAAGATGAGGACCTGTAGGCTGGGGTTAGGGAAGGTAGCTGTGGGAGAGAGCTTTTCTGAATGACTCACTAACTTCCCTCTTATCGAGGTGGAAAAAAATGGCATGGAAAAAGAACGGAAACCCAGGAACAAGGAGGAGCAGTGTGGCTGACCCCCTCCCCGCCAGGGGGGTCGGGAAGGGGGGTTGGCACGGAGCTGAAGCAGGTGCCCCCCAGGCCGCGCTGGGGGTGGCGATGCTGGGTGTGAACTGCCATTAGAGAATATCCATTGTGATTATACCTTCCCGTCAGCATAAACTCTGCCATTTGAACCAGCTTTCATACAATCACACAAGGAAGGAAAATTTTGCTTCTTCAACAACAATGGCTGGAGCAACTTCTGCCATCACAGAGGGCGACAGAATGCATCTTCGGGGTAGGGGCACCCTTGTAGGAAAGCGCGTTAATCAACCTGTCTTCTCGGTTAGGGAGCCTGGTGAAGGCTAGCTGAAGCTAAACACAGGTCAATTACTCAAGTGACAAAGAGGTGGGAATTTCTGGGTCCCCGATCATCCTGCCAGAGGACGGGGGTCGGCTGTTTGGGAGCACGGCAGACGCGGCAGAGAACTCTGGCTGGAGTGGTCCCCCAAAGCGGTGGCAGGACAGAGCCCAGGGAGAAGGTGGTCAGGGACCCTGGG